TAAATTGGTCTGAGATGTGGCCTGGGACTTGTAGTTTGTAAGAGATCTCCAAATTTGCGGACAAATTTGGAAACCACTGTAACACTGCTTTGCTTGGGACATTAGCTAACAACAGCCACCTGAGAGCTATTTCATCCTGCCAATTAATGAGATAACATCAAAACTGTGTTTTCTAAAATAGAGTTAAAGCTTTACCTATGGGAGAAATTATAGCACAAAAGAACAATAGCAAGTTATTCATTCACATTATCAGTACTTATAGATGGTCTTTTAGGACTGATTCAGTTTTTTACTGACTTCAACCTGTGTCAGGTCATAAAGCTGAAAGGCAAGGTTGGTAATACATAAAAAGCCTATAGAATAAGTGCTGCAACTTTCATGGGTGACAGCACGGCTGGCCACGAGGGGCATTTTTGTGGACTACTCTCCCTTTTCCCTTAGGTCTGGAACAACAGAAAATATCTGAATTTAAAAGTTCCATTAACTGTTTTTGTTGAAATTCATAGCCTGCCTCCCACTGGAGCGTAAACTTTTTGAGAAGAGAGACCTTCCTCATTTGTGTTCTGTCCATACTGGCACCATGCTTGCCTATGGGAGCCAAATCACAAGTTGGCTGAATAGTTAATTGTGTTTCCTACAGTGCTCTATTTAAGCCATTGATACACTGAAGTTGTAACCAATAATTGTAACTACCATTCATCTACTATATGCAAGATTCTTTACATATATATGTAAGTGATATACATATATACACTAATCTTGTTTTGTTTATCACTAATCCTGTTTTTTTTTTTGAGATGGAGTTGTTTCGCTCTTGTCGCCCAGGCTGGAGTGCAGTGGCATGATCTCGGCTCACTGCAACATCTGCCTCCCAGGTTCAAGCGATTCTCCTGCCTCAGCCTCCCGAGTAGCTGGGATTACAGGTGTGCACCACTATGAGCGACTAATTTTTGTATTTTCAGTAGAGATGGGATTTCACCATGTTGGCTAGGCTGATCTCGAGCTCCTGACCTCAGGTGATCTGCCTGCCTCGGCCTCCCAAAGTGCTGGGATAACAGGCCTGAGCCACTGTGCCCGGCTGTTTATCACTAATCTTTACACAGACCTATTAATCCTCCTATCTGAGAAGAGGGAACTAAATCCCTGAGAAATTACCCAAGATTGTACAGTGGAGTAAGCAACAAAACTGAGGTTTGAGCCATGTCTGTCTGATGCTGTAGCACACCCACTTTTCTTTACCAAAAACATTCTAGACTCTTAGATGGGATTAAAAACTCCTAAGACAAGACTCTGGAGTAATCCTTCATTATAAAGCCTATGGGATCACCTACATTTTTCCACATTAAAATAAAAAACAAAACAGCTTCTAAACAAGATTTTTCATTAGCTTAACCATTTCTTCTGTTTTGGACATTTCAGGATTACCTAATTTGCCACTGTTAAAGATACCACAATGAAGATTTTTCTGCATAAATCTTTGCCCACACTTGGAATTATTTCTTTAGGGTCCATTTCTATAAATAGAATTGGACTAAGGCATGTAAACATTACTGACTTACACTATCAAATTATTTTTCATAAAATATACTAATTTAGACTTTTACCAGCAGTGCACAAGAGGACTCATTTCATCCCTGCTAATATCTTTATACTTTGCAAAAAATTTTTGCCAATTTGCTAGTTTAAAGAAAAATCTAATTTTTTGCATTGTTTTGATTACAAGCAAGTTTGAGCATTCTCTTTCTTTTTTTTTTTTTCCTTTCCTGTAGTGCTGATGAACATTTACTTAACGTTTATTAGCCCTTTATATATCTTCATAATTCTGTTCTCATCCTTTGTCTATTTAATTTTGACACTTACCTTAGTGTTTTCTTATAATCTGTACATTTTTACTCTTCAAATGTTAAGACTATTAACCCTTTATCGTATTTATTGCCAAATATTCCTCCAAAGTTTTCTATCATCTTTAAGTTTTAATTGTTGACACAGAAATTTTAAGTATTTTAATCTATTTATATTGTCCTTTATATGTTTTGCCACCTTTAACTCTAGAAGATTAAAATCCAGGGATCAAGTAAATATTCTCTTATTTCCTCTAATTCAGTTTTTAAAATATTTAACTCCTTGATTTACCTGTGGTTTATTTTGGTACATAATATGATATATGTCAGTTGGCCATTTCCTCAAATATTTCTTTTTCTAACTCCTTTCTCTTTTAATTTGTGATGCTATCTTGATCATATTTTTGATTCCTGTTGAATCTAATTTTTGCTTTTACTTTTGTTTTCTTTTAGCAAATCCTGTTTCCTGTGACTTTGTAAGGAAATGGTAAGATGTAGTTATAGTACTATTTTCACAGACCTAAACTAATAGGCCAGCCAATCTGGATGGGGCAGATTCATTTGACGTGGGTCTACCTTGGGGTTTTCAAAAAGGACATTCCTAGGCTTTCTCTTTGTCATAAGGCCCTTTTCTTTTCTTTCTTTCTTTCTTTCTTTTTTTTTTTTTGAGACAGAGTTTCACTCTGTTCCCCAGACTGGAGTACAGTGGCGTCATCTCGGCTCACTGCAACCTCTGCCTCCTGGATTCAAGTGATTCTCCTTCCTCAGCCTCCTGAGTAGCTGGGATTACAGGCATGCACCATCACGCCCAGCTAATTTTTGTATTTTTAGTAGAGATGGGGTTTCACCATGTTGGTCAGGCTGGTCTCAAACTCCTGACCTCGTGATCCATCTGCCTCAGCCTCCCAAAGTGTTGTGATTACAGGTGTGAGCCACCACGCCTGGCCCATAAGGCCCTTTTCTAATCACAGTTCCTATGGGAAGAGGAATGAAGGAAGACAGAATTACTAAGAAGTTACACTTCTGGTCCCAAGCATCTTGGATAAGAGATATTCATCCTATAGAATCATTAGGGAGAAATACGAAGGGTTCATATAGGTGAAAAGTAAATAATACTAGATTTTATTTTTATCCACTTTTTAAAGAAATGGGTAAAAACCATTCATATTTATTGTTACTGATTAGCTCATTTATATGTATGGCTATTATTTAGACTTATTAAACAGTGGGACAGAAGATTGAGATGTGGGAGAACACTTCCTTTTTCTTTTCTTTTTTTTTTTTTTTTTTTTGAGACAGTCTCGCTCTGTTGCCAGGCTGGAGTGCAGTGGCACGATCTCGGCCCACTGCAACCTCCGACTCCCTGGTTCAAATGATTCTCCTGCCTCAGCCTCCTGAGTAGCTGGGATTACGGGCATGCACCACGACACCTGGCTAATTTTTGTATTTTTAGTAGAGATGGGGTTTCACTATGTTGGCCAGGATGGTCTCGATCTCCTGACCTTGTGATCCGCCCACCTCGGCCTCCCAAAGTGCTGGGATTACAGGGGTGAGCCACCGTGCCTGTTTGGAGAACACTTTTATTCTCTGAGTTTTTCACTTGTTTGCTAGGTACTTGATTCATTACTTAGTAGATCTGAACTTTTAAGCGATTTGGGATTCTGCATTGACAATATCGAATCACACATTTTGTGAAGTTCCAGTTCAATGTATCCCAATCTTCCTTGCCTCTAATTCAAATACGGTAGCTAATGACTTTTCAAGAAAGTGCCCTTTATGAAAAAAAGAAAAGAAAAATGTATATGTGTATATGTGCATATAATGCACAACAATAAATGCCTCCTGAAAACCGATGCTTACCCTTTGTTAGGCTAAGATACAGTTAGAAGAGGAGACAGAATACAGTTTAGCATCCCTAATCTGAAAATCTAAAATCCCAAATGCTCCAAAATCTGAAACTTTTTGAGCATGGACATGACACCACAAGTGGAAAATTTCACACATAAGTACTTACCACAAACTTTGTTTCACACACAAAATTATTTAAAATATTATATATATAATTACCTTCAGGCATGTGTGTAAGATGTATGTAAAACATAAATGAATGTTGTGTTTAGACTTGGGTCTCATCCCCAAGATACCTCATTATGTATATACAGATATTTCAAAATCTGAAAATATCCAAAATTCCAAATACTTCTAGTCCCAAGCATTTTGGATAAGAGATATTCATCCTATAAAATCATTAGGGAGAAACACTAAGGGTTCATATCAGTGGTTCATGTAGGTGAAAAGTAAATAATACCAGATATTATTTTCATCCACTTTTTAAAGAAGTGGGTCAAAACCATTCATATTTATTGTTATTGTTTAGCTCATTTACATGTATGGTTATTATTTAGACTTATTTTGTATTTTATGTTTTAACATTTAGTTTTAAAATTTTATTGTGGAGATAGATCTCACTTTGTTGCCCAGGCTGGTCCCAATTTCCTGACCTCAGGTGATCCTTCTAACTCAGCTTTGTGAAGTGCTGGCATTATAGGCGTGAACCACCACACCTGGCTGTATTTACCATGCTTTCCAGTTTTTTCCCCCCTTCCTTATTCAGGCAGCAAATTCTACTACCTTATTTTTGTTTAATGGTTTTCAGTTAAAAAATAGGTTTTCTCACAAGAATTCTGAAAAGTAGATAGGACAGATATATCAACTAGATTTTACTGAGAGAAAATGAAAGTCAGCAAAATTAAGTCACTTTCCCAAGGTTGTCAGGTGGCTGAGGAGTAGAGCAGGCAGAATTAACATCTACTGAATAGTACCAAGTATCCACTCAAAATACCACAGTACTTAAAATAAATAATGTATGCTGAGTGAACAAGCTTTCCTGTGACTGGATAGTTTGTGTCTCGTAAAGTTTTATACTTAAAAAGGCTGTGAGGAGTGTGGTTCCAAAAAAGTATTTCATTATTGTTATTTCTTACTGCTTCTTGTTTCTCTCTGCTCTGTTAATTTGGAGTCATGTGAGGAAATTGTGCCATTTCTATCTGCATTATCTACCCCTGTATCCTTCAAAAAGTTTGCTTTTATGCAAATATGCTGTGCCTAATTAGCCCGGTATGATGTCTGTAGTCCCAGCTACTCAGGAGGCTGAGTTTGGGTAGTAGTCCAAGGCTGCAGGGAGCTGTGATCATGCCATTGCACTCCAGCCTGGGTAACATAGACCCTATCTCTAACAAAACAAACAAACCAACCAAAAAAATGCTGAGAGGTTATACAAGTGTGCACCCTTGGGAGCTGCTGACTATTGAGCCCACTCTCCCCTGCTGCCTCCTCCCACGGTGCATCAGTCACCACTTAATTAGGAAGGCCATTTCTTCACATAATGCCTTGTATGTGCTGTGTCAGTGACTGAATCCTACCTGACACCAGGGCTAGGGCTTATTCTAAAAGAGTTTGGAGCCTATTAAAGAGCTCAGTCAAGTGTTATAGGGATGCTTTTCCTTATCACCTCCCTCATTATACATTGAAGCATTTCCGTTGAGGAATTCTCCTGGCCTCTTGCCTCATTCTTTAGTTAGACTTTCCATGGAGTAGGAGTGACATCTGTTTGATAGGTTTGGGAGAGAGCATTGGTCCCTTCTGGGACCCTTTTTCTTTGGGGCCTGCCTGTCCACAGTGATCTGTAAGATGGTGCATCAATCTGTACAAGGATCTTTGTGATCTACTTTCTATCACATAGCAAGTTTAGCCCCTACAGGAGGAGGCCTGCAACTTTGGGATGTCATTTCAATTTGGGGGTGTCAGGGATCCAAACTACTCATTTCAATATGGTTTTGTCAATAACAGATAGTATTTTTATTCTATTTGTCTGACTCCTGTGCCTATTTTTCAGTTGGTTTCTAAAAATGGTAGACCAAAAGAGTTGTTATATATTGGGCCCTTCAGACTCCAACCAAGGCCATTACACAGTTGTAATATGAGTCCCCACAACATAGGTGGTGTATTAGTCTGCATAGAATAGACAATGCTACATTAACAAACAAGATACAGAACTCTCAATGGCTTAACACAATAAAAGTTTATTTCTCCCTCCTGCCAGAGTCTAGTGTGAATTGATTGGCCCTTCTCAACCTTGTAGCTCTGCTATCTAGGATATGTGACTTCTAGGTCCCTGCAACAGGGAAAGAGAAAAGTGGAAGAGACACACTAGCCCATATGTGATACCCAGTACTCTTGCTGAAATTAGACATGACAGTTATGTCACTCCAAACACTGCAAAGGAGGCTGGGAAACGTAGGGGAACACATAGACGCTTGGAGGGCACAAACTCTCTCTGCTACAAGTGGATTAAGAAAAATGAGGGAAGGTTCAAGGGAGCAGAGTGAGGCACAGAGGGGGTTGAGTGGTACCAAAAGTGTATTTTGCCTATTTCATAGTTTTTCCAAAGCCAGATATTCTGTCTGAAATTTGTCTGTACAATCTCTTCAGAATCCAGTGCTACAAAGCCATCTACAAATGACCTTAATAGGCTGATTGAGGTTTTTCCTGTTAAAAAGTGTGCATTTTACCTCGGGTCTTCTGGAGACAATATGTTCATTGTTTGGTTGCATAATTTATTGTCTTAATTTTATTATGTGTTATATTAGTAATTCTAGAAGTGAGAATGTTGGGTCCAAAGAATGTTTGGGTACTTTGAGCCTTTCAGTACTCTTCAAATCACATCAAATACAGCATTGGTTTTAGTTCTTCTTTTTTTCCCCCTCATATGGGATTTGTTTGAGTTGGAGTCATCTAATGTAACCATATTTCTTAAGCATTCTCTTTGAATTAATCAGCTGATATTTGTTAGTTTTTCTTCTAGGAAGAGAACCCCAAACCTTTCAAAGCCTAAAAAGCAATGGGGAACTCCAGACAGGTAAGGCAATATTATATGGTCTTGTTTGTGATGATTGTGTTCATTACATCAAATAGGTAAGTATTATTTATCCATCCACCTCTACAGATCCTCTGAACCAATATTATCACCTCATTGTAGTCAGCATGTAAAAAACTAACCCTTGGTCAGTGGTTCTTAAATTTGGCTGTACATTGGTATCACCTGGGGAGCTTTAGTAATGGCTGAGTGCTTTCCCCAAAAATCCTGATTTAGTCGATATGGGGTGTGCCATAAACTTTGGGAGTTAAAAGCTCCCCAGATGATTCTATAGGCAGACAGACTTGAGAACTACTGCTCAAGGGTGTGACTCCACACCGCTTTGAAACTTTTTGTGCATTTTCCAAGTCCAGCTTTGCTGCCTGTATCTCTAAAGCTGCTATCACTAATCTTGATACCGCTAAACCTCTTATTAGAGCACACCTGTCCTCTGGGTCTCCAGCAAGCTAGACCCTCAGTCCTTTCATGCTTGGCCAAGGGACTCTTCTTTTTCTTCTTTGGCTCCTGAGTCAAGCTTGAATATTTTTTGGATCTCCTACTGCTTTTTTTTTGAGGCAGGGTCTCACTGTGTTGCTCAGGCTGGAGCGCAGTGGTGCAATCATGGCTCACTGCAGCCTTGACCTCCCAGGCTCAAGTGATTCCTCCACCTCAGCCTCCTGAGTATCTGGGACCACATGTGCCCAGCTAATTTTTAAATTTTTTTGTGGAGACAGGGGTCTCCCTATGTTTCCCAGGCTGGCCTCAAACTCCTGTGCTCAAGTGATCCTCCCACCTTGGCCTCCCAAAGTGTTGGGATTACAGACATGAGCCACCATGCCTATCCTATTGCTTTTTAAACAAAATTAATAGACTTTAATTTTTAGAGCAGTTTTGGGTTTACAGAAAAATTGAGCAGAAAGTACAGAGTTCCCATGTTTACCACCGTTCCCCCTAGTTTTCCCTACTACTAACATCTTGCATTATTTTGGTACAATTGTTAAAATTGATGAGCCAATATTGATACATTGCTACTGATTAAAGTCTGTGGTTTACATTAAGGTTCACTTTTTGTGTTGTGCGGCTTTATGGGTTTGATAAATGCATAATGTATCCACCATTATAGTATCATACAGGATAGTTTCACAGCCCTAAAACTTACCTGTGTTCCAACTATTCGTTTCTTTTCATCTTTCCTCCCTTTCCAAACCCTTGGCCACTGCTAATCTATTTACTGTCTCTATAGTTTTGTCTTTTCTAGAAAGTCATATAGTTGGAAGTGTACAGTATGAAATCGTTCAGATTGGCTTCTTTTACTTAGTAATATGCATTTAAGATTCCTCCATTTTTTTTTGGCTTGATAGCTCATTTCTTTTTAAGATTATATTCTATTGATGTGGTACTATTTAGTTGTATAGGTGTATCATATCCATATATACCATGGATATAGGTATATCCATTCATCTATTTAAGGGCAACATGGTTGCTTCATAATTTGGCAATTATGAATAAAGCTGCTATAAACATTCATGTGCAAGGTTTTTGGTACATATAAGTTTTTAGTAATTTGGGTAAATTGCTGAGTAATATGGTAAGAGTACATTTAACTCTGTAAGAAACTGCTAAGCTCTTGTAAGATGACTGTACCATTTTGCATTTTCACAAGCAGTGAAGGAGAATTCCTGTTGCCCCACATCTCTGTCAGCATTTGGTGTTGTCAGTGTTTGGATTTTAGCCATTCTAATAGGTGTGTAGTGGTATCTCATTGTTTTAATTTGCAATTCTCTAATGAACTGATGTTGAGCATATCTGCTTATTTGTGTAAGGTATTTGTTCATATCTGCCCATTTTTGCTATGTGTTATTGTTGAGTTTTAGGTGTTCTTTGTAAGTTTTGGATGCCAATCCTTTATCAGATATTAGTTTTGCAAATATTGTCTCTCAGTCTATGGTTCAGCTTTTCATTCTCTTAGTGGTGCGTTTCACAAAATAGAAATTTTAATTTTTATGAAGTTCAACTTACTTGTTTTTTCTTTTGTGAGTCATGCTTTTGGTGTTGTTTCTAAACTCATTGCTAAACCCAAAGTTGCCTGGATTTTCTCCTGTGTGTTTTTCTATAAAACTCCTGAAAGTTTTATATTTTTGTATTTTATGTTTACATCTAGACACATTTTGAGTTAATGTTTATGAAAGGTGCAAGGTCTGTGTCTAGATTATTTATTTTTGCTTGTAGATGTCCAGTTGTTCCAGCACCATTTGTTGAAAAGACTATCATTTCCTTTTTTTTTGGAGATGGAATTTCACTCTTGTTGTTCAGGCTGGAGTGCAGTGGTGCAATCTCGGCTCACTGCAACCTCCGCCTCCCGGGTTCAAACGATTCTCCTGCCTCAGCCTCCCGAGTAGCTGGGATTACAGGCAGGCACCACCATGCCTGGCTAATTTTGTATTTTTAGTAGAGATGGGGTTTCTCCATGTTGGTTAGGGCTGGTCTCGAACTCCCGACCTCAGGTGATCTGCCCACCTCAGCCTCCCAGAGTGCTGGGATTACAGGTGTGAGCCACCGCACCTGGCTGAGACTATCCTTTCTTGATTGGATTGCCTTCAGTCCTTTAGCTATATTTGTGTGGATCTACTTACAGGATCTGTATTTTATCCCACTCATCTGTCTCTTCTTTCACCAATACCACACTGCCTTGATTACTGTAGCTTTATAAGTCTTGAAGTAAGATAGTGTTAGTCCTCTGACTTTGTTCTTGAATATTATGTTGACTATTCTGGGTCTTTTGTCTTTCTTTTTTTTTTTTTTTGAGACGGAGTCTTGCTGTGTCACCCAGGCTGGAGTGCAATGGCCGGATCTCAGCTAACTGCAAGCTCCGCCTCCCGGGTTCACGCCATTCTCCTGCCTCAACCTCCCGAGTAGCTGGGACTACAGGCGCCCACCACCTCGTCTGGCTAGTTTTTTTGTATTTTTTTCTTAAGTAGAGACGGGGTTTCACTGTGTAAGCCACGATGGTCTCGATCTCCTGACCTCGTGATCCGCCCGTCTTGGCCTCCCAAAGTGCTGGGATTACAGGCTTGAGCCACCGCGCCCGGCCAGTCTTTTGTCTTTCTATATAAACTATAGAATCAGTTTGTCAATATCCATGAAGTAACTTGCTGGGATTTTTACTGGAATTGCATTGAATGTATAAACTAAGTTGGGAATAATTGATATCTTAATATTGATTCTTCCTATCCGTGAATATTGAATACCTATCAATATTTATAACTCTTTTTTGATTCTTTCATCAGAGTTTTGTAGCTTTCCTCAGTAGATCTTATATGTATTTTGTTAGAATTATGCTTATGTATTCCATTTTTTTCGCAATGCTAATGTAAATAGCATTCTGTTTTTTATTTCAAATTCCAATTGTTCCTTGTTAGCATATTAAAAAATCAGTAGACTTTTGTATATTAATGCTGCATCTTGCAACTTTGCTATACTCTGAAGACTAAGTTTTAAGAGGCTTAAAACTAAAAATATAGTAGGCATTAAATTCCCTCTTACTCATGGATAGGAACACACACATATATATTGAGTAGAGGTATACACTGATAAGAGATACGTTAATGAATATTACTAGAACTGTCAAAATCTTGGAACACTCAGCCCACCCTGTTTGAAACCAACAGAAAAATTGGAGACTTTATTTGATTAGGGAGTAAAGTTTAGAAAAGTTAAGTAAGTTACCCAATTCACTTGGATTTGAATCTACATCCGTTGTCCACAAAGCCCATTTCTTTCCATTATATCATCCTGTCTATTTTAGAAAGGCACAGTTCCTTTGATGGCATGGAATACCAGAGGCAAGAAGATAATTTGGGGCTATTGAAGTAATGCAGGAGAGAAATAATGATAGCCTATCCTAAAACATTGGCCTTAAAGGTTGAGACAAAGGTTAGAGTCAAAACATAGATGGACAGGACCTAGTGACAAATGAATTGTAGAAGTCTGAGGAAGGAGTAAAATGTGATTTCTAGTTTTGTGTCTTTAGAAATAAGGTAGAGAATACTATTATAACTGCGAGAGAAAATACAAGAGGGAGATAGGTTTGGGAGGAAGATACATTAGATCATGCAGATGATTTTTAGACATTCAATAAGTATCTGGAAATATGGATTTAGCATTCAGGAGACTACTTGAGAGTAACTGGAGAGACTTATTCGGGAATTGCGTTTAGTAATAATAAAATAATATTGAGGATGGGCGCAGTGGCTCACATCTGTAATCCCAGCACTTTGGGAGGCTGGGATGGGTGGATCACTTGAGGTCAAGAGTTTGAGAAAGCCTGGCTAACATGGCGAAACCCCATTTCTACTAAAAATACAAAAATTAGCCAGGCGTGGTGGCACACACCTGTAATTCCAGCTACTTGAGATAGGTTGCGGCAGGAGAATTGCTTGAACCTGGGAGGTGGCAGTTGCAGTGAGCCGAGATTGCACCACTGCAATCCAGCCTGGGTGACTGAGAGACTCCATCTCTAAATAATAATAATAATAATAATAATAATAATAATAATAAAAGTAATATTGAAGAGATTGGAAGCCTGGAGCACGTGCCATTGTTTGAGTTGTGAAAGAAATGCTACCTAAAGAAACAGAGAGAGGCCGGGCGTGGTGGCTCATGCCTGTAATTCCAGCACTTTGAGAGGCCAAGGTGGGTGGATCACTTGAGGTCAGAAGTTTGAGACCAGCCTGGCCAACGTGATGAAACCCTGTCTCTAATAAAAATAGAAAAATTAGCCGGGCATGGTGGCACGTACCTGTAGTCTCAGCTATTTGAGAGGCTGAAGCAGAATCGCTTAAGCCTGGGAGGCTAAGGTTGCAGTGAGCTGAGATCATGCAACTGCACTCCAGCACAGGTGACAGAGGTGACAGAGGGAAACTGTCTCAAAAAAAAAAAAAAAAAACCAGAAACAAACAAACAAAAAAGAAACAGAGGAAGCTGCTAGAAGAGAACCAAGAAAG